GGGGAAGCACCCCAGCCAAAGGTGCTGTGTGGAAACTGGGACCTGTTTGGTTTGGGATTCTCACACAGGCAAGCACCCATCCTGAGAGTGGATACAGGCAGCCATTCATAAGGACGAGCAAAGGCCCTTGGAAATTTGACGCCGGCTGTTGCCTTGCACTCCCCCAGATTTCCATCTTTGTCCTCTTAGCTAGGTCTCTCTTGAAAGACCTAGATGACATGGCAGCAGTTGAACTGTCCCAAGGACAGAAGATTCTCCCTGGAGGTGGGCTGCATCCGGAAGGCCAAGGCCTTTTCACAGAGCGGAAACTGCAGGAGCCGATCTTTCAGGTTAGCGTTCTTGCCTTTTGCTGGGTCAAGCTTGATAATGCTGTCTGCTAGGCCATCGTGGCCACTGCCGTTGCTCTGGCCCTCGCAACAGGTTTTGGCCCAGTGGGGTGGCCCCAGCTCAAGGCCCTTGCCTTCTGCATCCGGCACCGTGTCGGCCCTGATGGTTCTTGGGGTACAGCTGCTCTGGAAAAGAGCTGCGCTGCTCTGAAGCAGGTAGCTCCCCTCCTCAGCCTCCAAGAGTTCCTCCTCAACAGGGTCTCCTCCTATCAGTGGAACGCTGCTCTTGTCTGCTTCCTCTGCTAAGCAGTGCTCAATTCTGCCCGCCTCCACCACTGTTCTGCCCGTGCCCCCTCCTGGGCTGCCTGGCGGGGCGACTTCCACTGGGGATTCGGCAGACCTTTCCCCCCCTTGCAAGCTGAGGCTGCTGCGCGTCTCCTTCATCCGTGGGGCTTGGCCTGACCCCGGCTCGCTTCTCAGGAACATGTGCTCCTGGGGACCCGCCAGAGTAGTCCCCGGCCCTTGTTCCAGGGAGGAGGACTTGACACTGGCAGGGACAAGGCTCTTCCCTGCTTTGTACTGGGCTGCCAGGGCCCGGCAGAGCAGCAGGGAGGCCTTGGTGCTCTGGAAGCGGCACATCTGCTCTTGGTCCAGAGAGGAGGTCCGCCTTCGGAAGAGGCCCGGCTTCTCTTCGGCCACCGTCACCTCCTCCTCCTCCTCCTCTTCCTCTGAAATCTGCTGCAAGGCAAGGGTGCTCTTGGCGATGGCCGTCTCCACGAGGGAGGGCTGGATGAGGGCTCGGAGAGGCTGCCCACATGCATGGAACCCAGAAGAGGACTTGCCTTCACCCAGGGCTGAGAGGGACAGGAGAGGCTTCCCAGCACGCTCCAAAGCATTCTGGGTGACAGGCTGCAACTCCGTGGGCAGAGGGGGACGGGAATCCCCCAATGGGCTTCTGAGGAGAAAGGAACAAAGAGAGGAGGTGAGGAGCTACAAGCCCCCAGGCCAAGACCAACGCTCAGGAGGACATCTCCAAAGGGCCAAGGGGAGGGCTTGCCTGCTCTGGATGTGCTCGGCCCGGTTCTGCTTCTCCTGCTTCTCCCGCAGAATCCTTTCAGCCAGCAGAAAGTAGGTGGCGGTGACGTGATTGTAGCGCTTGGCCTCCAGGGCTCTGCAGGAATACGGCAGGCAGAAAGAGTCAGGTGCAGCACCGGCCCTGCGCTGCAGGAGACGCTTGGCTCTGCTTGCTTCCGAGGGGCAACCCTGTAATTGACTCATTGCCCTTCAGTCTACAGACTGCAGGCCTTGGGCTGACTGTGACCTCAAGAAGCCATTTGCACTCAATTCCTTAGCAATACAGCATGGAAAGGTGAGATAATAACCTAATCAGTGAACAAACAGAAGTCTGTTTCTACATGCAGCTTGGGAGGTAAACTCCAGCTGTCTTAACTATGGACTTCCAAGTCTTCTCTGGGGCTTGAAACAGATCTGGAATGCCAACCTCATCCCAGGTCTAGATGCAGGGCTTGGTGGCACATAACTGGAGGATATGGGGGAGACTGAGCATCTTAATGCAGCCTATTCTGTGGCTATTTCACCTTGAGGACACACGTCCTACTCATGTCCTACTCACGTTGGATTCTATCCTTCAGGAACCTGGGACTTGGGAAGTGAGTCTCCTGGTGCAGGCCAGAGTATTGGATCACAGGTTTGGGCAAGCTGTGTTTTAAGCCAGGAATGGGGAACCCATGGCCTTCCAGAAGTTGCTGAGCTGAAATCCACAGCATGTCATACCATTAGCCATGGAGGCTGGGCCCCTGGGAATTGTTGTTCACCAACATCTTACAAGGCCGCAGATTCCCTTTCTCTTCTGTAGGCAAATGGGAATATAAGCTTTACCCAATTCTTCCTTACAGATAGTCCTTACTTAACAACAGTAACTGGGACTGGAATTTCTGTCGCCAAGTGATGCAGTCATATAGCGCGACATCACATGGCCACATCGCTTAGCATCAGCAATCCCAGAAGTCCCTATTGCTGTTGTTAAGTGAGGATCGTGGGTTGTTAAGTAAGGACCTCACATGATCGCCCAGGACTTGTGACTTTCTGCTGGCTTCCCACAGGCAAAGTTAATGGGGAAGCTGGCAGGAAGTTGCAAGTCCAGCTTGCAAGCAGGCTGGAGGGTGGGTGAGTACTATGGAGTGAGGTGGGGGAGTACTATGGAAAGTGCATGCGGGCTGGGGAGGAGGTGCTGCGGTGCAAGCGCATGGTCTGGAGTCTGAAATCCCTGGGATCTTGTACTCCGTAGCAGGGCTCCTCGGGGGAAAAAGCAGCATGACCGACTTGCAGCCTTCCCTGCCAGCTTCCCCACTGACTTTGCTTGCAGGAAGCTGGCAGGGAAGGTTGCAAATGGCAATCACTTGACGGCGGGGTGCTGCAACTGTCGTAAATGTGAGCCGGTTGCCAAGCACCCGGATCGCGATCCCATGACCGCGGGGGTGTTGGGACGGCTGGAACTTTGAGGACTGGTTGTAAGTACCACTTGTTCAGTGCCATTGCAACTTTGAACGGTTGCTGAACAAGTGGTCATTAATCGAGGACTACCTGTATCTTCATTTATATCCATTTTTGAACTATGCTTAAACCTCCACAGTCACAAGTTCAGGGGCATTTTCAGAAGCCACTTTTGACCTTCGAGCACTAAGAAAGCCCCCCAAAATCTACTAATTATTTCAGCAAGTGATGCTCTGTCCCCACCAACTGGAGCTCAAGTTAAATTCCTGTCCAGTGGCAATGATATCTCTGTCCAAATCATTCTCCTTCACACAACATTCCTTTAAGCAACTGGAGATATTTGTGCCAATCCCAACCCCGGAGCCCCACTCACTCCTGTATGGTTTCTTGGTCTGCAATGTGGCCACACATCATGGTCTGGATGATGGTCTCATGCTCCTCCTCTGAAACCCTCCTGTGTGATGTCAGAGGCAAAAGGCAGCGGCTGGCTGGAGAGGGGTCCACCCCCTGTAGCCACAGGTGGCTTTCAATCTGCTCCAAGGAGGCCCTTTGCTTGGGGTCCCGCTGCAGCATCTGGGCAATAAGGCTGTGCAAAGAAGGGGTGAGAGGGACTCAGCAGCTGCCTCCCAAGGCCCTGTACTCCTCCCTCACAGTCCACATCTCTTCAGGAAACTCAGGTGGCAGTAGCAATGGCAGAAGGTGGAGCTGAGTTGAAACAGGCCCTTTGAGAAAGGCATTACGAGCTTCTGGTACCCCACACGGGAAGACGGCTCCTTCTTCCTGGGCCACCTGTGTTTCTATGCTCAGAAGAGAGCAGGATCAGAATGTCTCCTGGGCAAGACAGAAGAGCGACCTGCAAAGCCCCTTCCCAAGGGCACTCAGCCAGGCAATGGCGGGAAAGATCCAGTCCCTTGACCATTAAGCAATCAGACCAGAGCAAAAAGAGCTGATGGGCCTTGCGTACATGTGGTCTGCCCAAGCTCCAGACTGCATGGCTGAACTTTTGCATCATTTTCTGGGCCCAACTCGAGAGGACCATCTCCCACGGAAGAGGAGAGATGCAGAGGGCAGGGTAAAGGGGAGGGGAGGGAAAGACAGGTAAGGTTCCCTTTCAGTTCTCTACTCCCCCATGGCACCCTTCCCTCCTAGTGCTCAAGGATGAAAACAAAGGGGTGCCAGTTGCATCCTTTCCTACATCGAGAGGCCCTTCAGACACTGACTTATGCCCTGGTCCCCTCACGGCTTGACGACTGCAATGTGCTCTATATGAGGCTGCCCTTGAAGACCACCCGGAAGCTTCAACTGGTCCAGAATGCAGCAGCACGGGCGATGCAACACCTTTTCTCTGCAAGCTGCACTGTTTGCCAGTTTGCTTCTGGGTGCAATTCAAGGTGCTGGTTGTTACCTATAAAGCCCTACGTTGCATAGGGCCTGGTTATTTGAGGGCCCACCTGTCTCCCAGAGTATCTTCCTGGCTGATTTGAGTTGATGCACCCCAGGTTCCTTCGATTAAACAATGTCATCTATTGGAATTGCAAAGTGTGCTTTCTCTATAGCAATGTCTGCCCTCTGGAATGAGGTTCCCCAAGATCCAGGTGGCCCCCACTCTGCTGTAGTTCAGAAGAGCCATGAAGACCTGACTTTGGCAAGGGGGGGGTGAGCCCCCTTGCGTCATTCCATTTGGTTTGTCATGCTTGCCATCTTTTCTCTTTTTTTCTGCCTTTTAATTGGGTTTATTCTTTGATTGGGGTGAATCACCCAAAGTTGTTGAGAGTTGGGTGACATAAAAGTTTAATAATAAATACATAAAATCAGAACGGTCTGGGGGTTTCCTGCTGACTCTTGCCCATATATCTCTATGCTATGAGCACAGCGGGCAGGGAGGCTGGGCCTCCTCACTAAGGAAGAAAGGACAAGGAGGGAGTAAATGGGGAGACGTTTCCTACTCTGCACACAGGAGGGAGATGTCTGATGGGATCACGTAGTGACAGTCTAGGATCATGGTCAGGGTCTCACTGTCGTTGGCCTCCTGGAAAGGGGGATGTCCACACACCAGCATGTAAAGGATGACACCCAAACTCCAGACATCTAAGAGAGAAGAAAAGAGGAAGCCAAGTTGAACAAAGCACCTGCCTGTGCTCTGGCCTCAACATGGCTCTCTCCTGTTGCCAAAGTGCCCCATTCTCCCAAACCATTTCTCAAATCAAATCCACTTATTCTGCTGACTAAGAATGGAAACTGTATTCTGCAGGGGACCCCAAAGCTGATATCCTGTCATTTAAATCCTCTAAACCACCAATATTATGAAGGGCTGAACAGTATGGAAAAGAAGTAGAGTACGATCGATCGAGGGATGGATGAAAGCCTTGAAATTAGGAAAATCTTAGTTACCTATAACTGAGTAGCTGGGAACATTTCTGAGATATCAAGAGAAGCAAATTTTAATATTGTAAACCTTTCCTCATGGCAGAGAAAGCTAATGGGAAAAAGAGGTCAAAAGGATGAGAATTCCTAAAAAGAATTTAGGAATTGTTTACCCAGTTGTAAACAACTCTCATGAGGGAAAAATGGAAGAAGGGGAAGTCAAAACACACAGAAAAAGAACATGCAGGTAGCTCGGAACGACAGAAATAGCGTCAGGAAAACAAAGATGTGGGATGAGTTGAGGTTGGCAAATGATACTAAAGATAACAAAAAGAGCTTCTTTAGATACCTTCAAAAGAACAAGAAAATAATCCATATACCAGTTGCTCAGTGAAAGACAAAATGCTAGCAAGTAATGAGAAAAAGGCAGAGCTACTCAAAACAGCTAATCCTATTTGGGTTCAGGAAATTGGGAAGAGGAAGCTGGAAGGGCAGGACTGAAGTCTGAGACTGACAGAAACATGGTCAGGGCATATTTCTTTACTCTGGATGAATTTAAATCTCCACAGCCAGATTAACTGCATATTGAAGGAACTGATGAGACCATTTACCCAACTTTATGCATTACCTTTTAAGAACTCCTGGAACAGCTGCATCCTGAACCTCTTGCCCCACCACTATCCAGCTGCAGGCCATGCTGCCTCTTATCTGACCGTCCCCTAGGCAGTGTCTCTGGGCCCATCTCCCAAGGTCTTTCCCAAATGCCATTACAAGAACCAATTTTTTTTCATAGGACCTAGTTTGATGATGGAACTAAGGTCAGGTCCTTCTCTGAACCCGTTCCAATTTCTATGAATACTTCTTAAAGTGTGGTGCTCAAAATTCTGACTAAAACAGAATAAAGTGGAGCAAATACTTAACTGTGATTTGGAAACTATATTAATGCAGCCTAAAACTATGTTGCCTTTTTTACATTCATATCACATTGCTGATTTATGTTCAATTTGCAATCAACTACTATTTCAAGATTTTTTCATGTACCCCCATGAAATGCCTTGTGCTGAAGTAAGCACAAGTATTTCAGAACTACAAACCTAGAAAACTGGATTGCAGAGCAGAGATTTAGCATTCTGGATGGGACATTATTTTCAGATACTCATTTAAAGTAAACTTCAGGGCAGGATGAGATCAGCAAGCAAATAAAGAAAGCTTGATTAAAGGATTTCAAGATTGGGGAAAGGTGTTTATCTCTTTTTAATAGTAATTATATTTAAAAATTATAGCAGTAAAAACTAATACAAACTAAAAGATAGAAGAATAGAAAGAGTAGAAGGTGCAGAAAAGAAAGGAAAAAAAGGGAAAAATAGAAAGCAAAATAGAAAAGAAAGTAAAGAAAAAGAAATATATAAAGAAGTGACTTCCCATCATCATCACAACAAATATAAACAATTTTAGTAACTTATCACCTCCTCTTAAATTACAAAAAATGACCTCTTCTTCCCATATTTCATCTCTTATCTATAAACAAGTCCATAAAGCATCATAATTTCAGTCCTGGTGTCAGCAAAAGCCTGTTAAGGATTACCAGAAATAACAACATATCTATTTTAACCTTGATCAAATAAGCCAACTTTATATTCCTTCCTTTTACTTCTAAACAAACTTTAGTCCATTAAAATAATGTCATAGAACTTGACTCCTTTTCATTTTTTCTTTGTCCCTTCTCACGAAATTCTTCAAAACTTTAACAAGCCTCTTTTGTAAATCCAATATAGGAAAATTATCCTGGTCACTCTCTTGGTTTATTGTTTGTATATCCATCTTAATTATTAAGATTCTTTTGTATGTCCAGTGTAACATCTTTTTCCGTGTCATATTGAAGGATGTTTTTGAACAATGGAATCTATGGAGAGACTGTGTTTACAAACAGACTACAAGAATGACATGGGAAAGGTGTTTATCTCCTGAGGAATTATACGGGTTTCAGCTTGGGAAAAAAGTCATCTGGAACAATATCTCTTCTCTAGCTAATCCTTCAACTAACCTGATTAATTGATCAGATGTACATGCTGCCAAATCCTTCAAGGATCCCAGCAGCTCACAAGGATAGGAAACATCCATGGTAAACCAAAGCAACCCCCCTCTGCTCCAAAACAAGACTATGCAAACTAACTAAGTAATACACCAGAACTCTTAATGGCAACCACCCCCTCCACAGACCCTCCTGGGAAGCGCCCTTTTCACCATTTTCTGGAAGGCCATTAATGAAGGGACCAATCTCACTTCCGGCTAAAAACAGGGATTGTGTGGGTGTTATACGGAGCTCTCTCACCACAGAGTTTTTAAAAACCTCTTTGTGGGAACTCTCTATTCTCCCGTTGTTTCTCTGGCCCTCTAGATAAAAAAATCGGCAGGAACCTGCCCACAGATCTGTGAGTTGGAGGCTGGCAGGTACGATCACTCTGACAGAAAGGCTATGCAGCATCTCCCTTGTTCACTGTCAGAAAACTGATCCAAAGGAAAAAGAACATGCTTGTGGGAAGGGCTGTTGCATACGAAGGAAGTTGCAAGCAGTGATGGCCGACCTTGGAAGGAGCTGGGAAGATGCAGAGTTAAACTGATTTTTTAAAAAATTTAACAATTAAAAAAAGGAGAAGAAACTTCTAGTCATCTCAAAATGTTTAGAAAGTAAACGTAGCTCTGCCCTGCTTTCCCATGAGTTTTTCCCACTGAATAGCAGCCCAATTTTGGATCTGCTGCAAAAATATTTCCCAATCTCACCAGGTTCCACTATACAGTGAAATGCTTCTTAGCCACCACCGCTGAGTAACAGACATCACCTTTCTGTCGGCTTTGTAACATTCCAGCACACAAGTCAAAACCAGCTTTATGCCTTCTGAACTTCTCTAGTTTTCGTCTGAATGTTGCTTTGGGTTTTATATCAGCCAGTTTCCACGAGTGTTTAGCCAAAAGTAAGACAGGAATTATTTACGGAGTCAAGCCTGCCCAGCAGGTGACTCTAAGCCCCTCCGCCCAAGCAACTCCAACCACCCCCAGGCTTCCTCACACCCAGGAGATGCCTTGCAGCCTCCCGGAGCCCTCGCCTCCCCAAGGTCAAAGCGGGCCTAGGCAGAGGAGTCCACCCACTGCCACCTTGTCCTGCCCAGGACAGCAGGCAGCCTGCTGGGGGCCCGCATCCTCTGCTCGGCCCCCAGGCCTGCAGGTCCTCCTCTCTGGCAGCCAAGAGGCCGTGGAGAGTCTCCTGGGGGCATTTCAGGGCCCCAACCTGGGTCGGGGCCGAGCCCCCCTGCCAGCTCTTACCCACGGCAGGGGCATCGTACTCCTCCCCCAGCAGGATCTCGGGGGCCGAGTAGGCGAGGGAGCCGCAGCTGGTGGCTAGCATGGTGCCCGGCTGGAAGCAGCTGCTGAAGCCGAAGTCGGTGAGCTTGACCACCCCTTGCTCCTGGAAGAAGAGCACGTTCTCGGGCTTGAGGTCCCGGTGGACGACGTGAAGCCGGTGGCAGTAGGAGATGGCGTGCACGATCTGGGCGAAGTAGCGCTTGGCCCTCTGCTCCCCCAGGCCGCCCTGGTGCCGCATGAGGAGGTCGAACATGTCCCCGCCGTCCCCCAGCTCCAGCACCAGGTAGAGCCGGGCCGGCGTCTCCAGCACCTGGTAGAGGCGCACCACGTTGGGGTGCTGCACCAGCTTCATGCTGCCCACCT